CTCAATACCCCCAGGCCCTCCCCAAGGCCACCTAAAGCCACTAAGGTGCAAGATGTCAGCATGACCTACGTGCCCACGTGTCACTCATTTGATTACTTCCCCTTTCTTTTCCATAGGTTCCATCCTTAAGAGCAGAGAGAGCGTAAGTGCAGTGACCCTCCTCTGCTAGGACCTCCAGAACTCACATCACGGATGCCTGAGCGCATAACACTTTTCTTCTCATGCCTGTTTTCTTCGATTAGCCTCTCACACACTTCAATTCCATGGTGGAGGTACTATAGACTCCCAAGGTTTGTGACTAAAGCCTTCCTGCTCCCCACCCAACACCAGCCCTACTTATTTTTCTCTGCTGAGTTTTTCAGAGCTACAGAGTAAGCTCAGCCTTCCTGAGGACTAAACTGCAACCACAGCAGTATTTTAGCAGTATTTTGGGAACCTGAGAAGCTGCATCCTCTAAGGATGGGAGGTTTATATGATTTTGCATCTTTTTTAAATGTTTCACTAGCGAATCTGAAACACATTAGTCATTAATCCTTTCCCACTTACAAAATAAACTTATTAATGTGTTATATTCATAAAGATAATAACTGAGATACGAAACTTAAGAAAGTTTGTGGGAAAGTTGGTTTTCAAAGAGAAGAATCTCAGAATGAAACTAAAGAGCATGGTGTGGTAGACACCACCCTTCAGAAAAATGTTATACTGACAAAAAAAAATACGTAACTACTTATTAACATGCCTGACCCCTAGCTGAAAACCACATCTTGCGATATTTAATTGATACATGCTCATTCTAGAAACCTTAATAAATCCTGAAACAAAAACTGAAAGGAAGCCATACTCAATTCAAAACAGTTTCTCTACCAAACAGACACATAAAACCTATCAGTTCCTAGAATGTACTATAATTGTTACAGAACTATCATGGAAAAATTCAAATAACTTCTATATAAGTGAAACAGAAAATACTTAAATTTTAAAACCAACTTTTGCCCAAACTAAAGGCTATGCTTCTTTCATACATGGTTTATTTAATCTGAAGGCATAAATCAGATTACTTGTTTATTAAGGAAAGTTCTTTTAGAATTACTCAAGTTATATACACACTTACCCATATATCACAATATGTAAGTAACTTCACTCCCAAAAAACTGCATAAAAACCCTTTGGAAACTGGAGAGACTAAAACCTGTAATTTTCCAGATCAGAACAATTTATTACACTCAAGCAATAAATACTTCCCTACATACACATAACACTAAAAATGTTATAGTAATTTCTTGGCATATTTCTTTCATGCTCACTGATTTAAATCTGAAGTATTTTCATCATATGAATTATCAATCTAGTTAAAGCACCATAAAAATGTAAAATGTCATAACTATTGTTACCTGAAAAAGAAAAATAAATCACATTGCTAAATAAATCTATTCCCACTTTTTGTAAAGGGTACTTTAATATTTTGTATTTTAAAGTAATTTAGACTTAACAGAAAAGTTGCAAAAAATATATAGATTTCAAGCTTTACCCACCTTCCCCTAACATTTACATCTGACATAATCCTCGTAGAATTGCCAAAATTAAGAAATTAAACACTGGTACAGTACTACTAACTAAACTATAGACTTCATTCCAATGTTGCCTGTTTTCCCACAAATATCCTTAAAAGTATTTTTTAAATAAATTTTTTCCACAAGAATCCCAAATTGACAAGGTTGTGTTAAGGTTTAATTTATTCCAAATACTGTGGAAGAAACAAAGGGCCAAACCTGTTTGTATTTCTATCTCTGCAAACCAAAGTTTGCTTAAGAGAACTTAACACATCAGATCTATTATAATGTAAAACTAAATACTTTGTTGTATAATATATATTACAACTCAGCTTTTAAGAATTTGGGTCAAAGAGGAATGACTTGCCAGCTATTTGGCTTCTCACCATAGAAAAGAGAATTTCAAACAAAAGTAAAATGATTTCACTTCCTTGAGTCTGACTCCATTCCTTTTTACAAAAGTTATTTTTAATGACCATTAAAAGCCTAGAAGGCAGAAAGTGAGCCTCCAATAAGAATACTGGCATTAGAAATTCCCAGAATATTAACAAATTAGAAATTGTACAGATGGAAAACAATTTTTAAAATGGAATGTTTATAGTAAATAAAGTCCACATGAACCACAAACTGAATTCTTTTTTTCTTCCAATAAGTTTAGCATTCCATTTCTGATCTCTGAATCCAAACTCCCTACAGTCCATCTCCAGAAATGATTGATTAATAACCATATAAATTCCAAACCCTTCCCAAAGAGGACAGGAGATTGAGAGCACTGCACAAGGGGAAGAGCAAAGTCCCATGTGTATAAATCTCAGTCGCACAAAAAAACCACACTGATCACATAAAATCTCATGATTTTGGCCATTGTGTAGCCTAAGGAGAACCCCTTGTGAAAAATGTTCATTTCAAAGTCAGGGAAATGCCAGCCAAGTCTAACTTCCTACAATCATCCCTCTCCCTCCCTTCTGTGTCAGTTTAATTCATGTACAATGTGAATACTTGCAAATGATCAGCATTCACATCAGCATTTTATTCAACAAACTGTGCTTGCCTGTTAGACATAAGACTTCATGCTAAATGTTTTATGGGGAACCAAGAAGGAAAAAAATATTGACCCAGCCTTCAAGGAGCTTACAATCTATCTCCTCTATCCCTAAATTGATTATCACAGCAGGTGTGTCAGGTAAAAAGCAGCCAATTATTATAACATTCCAGAAGAATCCTAAAAAGAAATAAGTATCAATGTCACTCATAACTTTCCCAACATACACAGAGAAACTGACTTTTCCAAAGCATTAGGAGCCCCACACCTACACTATCTAAATGTAAAGTGGAGAGAAAAGACATAATTGCACAGCAACATAGCTGATCGTTGCACACACAAAATCTGCCAACTTCAAATATTTACAATCTCAACATTTCAACATAATCTCTCGGATACCGCGCTTCATTCCCTCTTTGCCCACTAACATACTAGGATAACTCAGAAAGCACACCCCAGTTAATGGTATAACAAATAGGATGACGTATTTCCTCTGAAAGAAAAAAAAATATGGCTAAATTTTAGTAAAAGTCTCTTTGGGTTTGACAGTTTAAATCAGCCTTCACAAGGACACAGGTCAGTACTACCTAATGCTGAACTCCTTTTTAATGATAAAAGGACTGATGCTTTAAATAAGCTACATAAATACTTGTTTCCATCCCCTTGCACACAACTTAAAAATCCACCCAAACGCTACTTGACAGGCTTAACTTTAAACAAATCTCTGCCAGGGAGTTATGAATCTTAATAAAGAGAAGACCATCACTAAGGCCCTCATATTTGGCTTCTAACATTAACGAGTTACAAGGCTCTAAAACTGATGAGTTGACTCCATAATTTGCTAATAAGAAAAAATGAAGGCCAAAATTTGCATCAATTTTATATCAGACAGCAGTGTATCGTTTTAAGTCCTCTGGAGCACGTGCAATTACCAGTTAAGGAAATATTAGACTTAGGGAAAGGGTATTTCTTTATTGAAGTTGACAGTTTGCATTTCACAGTACAGAGCAAACTGCCAACCACAATCTCATTTTCATCTTTGCGGCCAACTGCGGTCAAGGGTCCTGGAGCTCAACAACACACAGGACACAGGCATCTGTGCCTATCTATGTGTACCGAGGACTCCAAGAAAGTAAAAATTTATGTTTCCAGAGATCAGCCAGCCAAACATCTCCAATGTTTAGAATATACATTTTACCGTCAGTGAAAAACCCCTTCACCAAAAGAAAATTTTAAAGGTCCAACTTACTCATTCCTCCCTAATAAACATAGAAACCTGTTTTGCAACCGAAGTTTATGGCCAAATAGTGGGGGTTTTATTATATCAAAAACAAGAAGCCCAGGTCCACCATTATACGTGGACCTTAATGAAACTAATATATATATGAAAAAGTGTGCAAATGTGCACGCGTCTGCCGTGCGCCCACATGTGTGCTCCAGGTACTGATGACAATTTAGAGGTAACCCCTGTAACACTGTGCGGCATTGGGCCCACGCCTGGGGTCTACAGGTCCTCTCCGCAAGGGGCTCCTCCCGGCTCGGCACGCCCCCGCGCGCGTTAGCAGACACGCGCGCGCGGGTGCACACACACACACACACACACTTGCACGCACAGTCCCTCTCCTTCCCACCTGGGACCCCGGGCGGCGGGGCTGGGTTAACAAGTTGCCACTGGCCGCAGCGCTCCGCTGGGGACCGAGGGCGGGTAGGTGGGGCCCGGAGAGCGCAAGGCCGCGTTGGTCCGGGGCCTGGGTGCCTGGACGCTCCCTCCTGGGCTGCCGGGTCCTCCCGCTGGGACCGACGAGAAACGCCCGCCCAGGCTCTTCCGAGCCGCCGCGCGACCGTCTCAATAAGCTGGGGTCACCGGCCGCGAGGGGCTGGGGGCGGCGGCAGGAAGGGCAGGGCGCCGGGCGAACGCCACCACCGTAGCTGCTGCCGGGTCTGGACGATCGCCGCGAGCGCAGCCGGGCACCGGCGACCCGGCCTGGCCGCTGCTCCGGGTCGTAGGGATCGCGCAGCGCCCACGCCCGGCGGCCCGGGGCTGCCGCGCCGAACTTCAAGCAAAGTTTTCTGCTGTTCCTCCAGGAGCCGGCCGGGGACTCGGAGTGGCAGCGGTCCGCCCCAAGCACGAGGCCAGGCCGCGGGGGGCGGTGGCGAGACGAGGGTCCGGGCTTTGAGCCTAGTGCTCGGGGCTCGACCGCTCCTGCCGCCCGAGTTGCCGGTGACCCCCGTCCCCGCCGGCCCCTTGCCCAGCGCCGGCTAATGGACAGCAGCTGTGCCGGGCCCGCCGCGCCCCCGCCCCGGACCCGCTGCCCGCCTCGGGCTCTCCAGGCCGGGGAGCTGCCGGCGTCCCGGGCCCCCGCTTCGGCCCTCGCATCCCCGGCGGCGGCACAAACGGTCCCACCTACCTGAAAACGTATCCCCTGCCGCAGTTAGCAAAAGTCCGGCCAAAGTCGCCAGGCATGTCCCAAGTCTCCTCATGTTGCCGAGTGCGCGCCGGGCCGCTCCCAGGCGGCGCTGGGTGGGCGCGAGAGGGCGGAGGGCGGACGGGAGCTTGGGTTTCCAGTCAGCCAGAAGAGAAAGGTAAACAGCCAAAAACACCGCCGGAGCCCCAAAGTGTCAACAGTTGCAGAAGTCCGAACTCCGGCAGCTCCAGAGGCCAGGGGAGAGGATCCTGGCTCCTCTTCCCCTGCCGCCTGACCCACTCGGCGTCTGGCGCGGCTGCGAGAGGGAGCGGAGGGCGCGCCCGCGGAGCCAAAATCCGCCCTCCGTTCCGGCGCCTGCACCCGCCGCCGCTCTCCTTCCCCTGCTCGGGACTCGAGCCGCCGGCGCCGGCCGTGGCCGTGGCGCTGGGCGCGCGCGTCCTGCCCGCCGTCTCTGCGCCCCCAGCCGCGAGCCCAGCTCCGGGGGCGGCGGTGCGCCGATGGCTGAGCCCGCGCCGGCTCTGCGCGGGGTTCTTGCTCCGCGACTGACTGGCGGTGCCCCGCAGGCCGGCTGAAGGGAGCGCCCACGTCACGGCCGCCCGGCACCGCCGCGGCCCGCTAGAGGGCGTGAGCGCCCAGCCCCGCCGGCCCGCGCCCCGGCGCTCCGCAGCCGCGGCGCCTCCGGGAAGGAGCTCGACTGGGGGCGGCCGCCGCCGCCGCTAGTGCGGCGTCACCCGCGCGGAGAGGAGCGGCGACACCGCTTCCACCCCCTCCCTCTCCCTTCTTTCCCCAGCCGCGTCTTCTGCTCTATGCCTGGCTTCCGGGAGGGTGACTGTGTGAGGGCTGCGCCTCAGCCAGAAGTTTGTCCCGGGTCACGAGCACCTAATAGTTTGTACGAGCGGCGGGCGGGACCAGCGGCCTGCGGCCCCGCGGGCGCGGCGAAGCAGCTCCGTCCCCGCCGCCGGACGGCGGTGTCGCCGAGCAGGGCCGGCGCTCCCCGGCCGCCGCGGGGAAGGCGAGCCGGCAGATCGAGCAGACTCCGAGGGGCCGCGGCCGGAGCGAAGTTGGCGGGCGCCGGGGACAGAGCGGGTGCCCGCGAGCGCCGCGACCCTGCAGCGCGCCAGCCTGCCCGGCCGGCCCGCCAACACAGAAGCGCCTGTCCCCGGGGCCCCGGCAGTCGCGAGGTTGTCCCGCGTGGGCCGGAGCGAGCCGCGGGCAATGCCCCGAAGGCGGTGGTCACGCCGAAACGAGGCCTTGGACCTAACCCCTGATTTCTGTAAGAGGTGCAAAGTGTTGGGGAACGGGTGCGGAGGAGGCGGAGGAGGCGTGGGTAATGAATCAAACCATGTCTTGAAATAGTTAATTTACCATTTTGTGCTTGGGATGACTATTTTATTAATTTAAAAGCTTCTGATGCTTCAGTAAAGAGGTTCGCTTTATCAATTTAAAAAAAAAAAGGTGATTCTTCTGTCTCCCCGAGAATAAGCACACTGAGCCAACACCCCTCAGCTGGAGACGCCAGTCCTAGCTAATAAACGCAATAGAGGGCCTTGGGAAGAGGTTAAATTAGAAACCGAAGTAACTAACGAAAAGTAACACAAGTGTTGTAGCACGGGCAATGACACGGGCCAAAAGGCAAACCCATGATGCAGGTGTGCCCCAGAGCTCTCCTGCACTGCTTCCACCTAGTGCTTATAAAAGCCCCAAAAGTACATTGATCCCACGCTGACCTCCACGCGGCCTCCAGCGGACCCAGAACCAACGGACAAGAACCTCGCCGGGGCAAATTTTGGGACTAGAGGACTTTTGCTTCTGGTGTCCCAACCAAAAACTCCTTCAGGAATTCCACTTACTGGATCCTTATGAGAAGTGCTCTTTAAAGGGCTCCATATTAATCATTTACTTCTTAATGATTTTACATCATCCTGCTACTTCTCACAAATATGTACTTGTTGAGCCTTATCTTTAAACGCGAAATGAACAGTTGAAGTATCAAAGCAGGAAGGGAGCTACATACCTCAAAGGATCAGCAAGTGAGGACAGTCCAATCTGCAACCTGGGCTTCCCATTTATTAAGGGCATGTGTGAACTGTGATGGAGCCTAAATTTGCCTTTTTTGAATGGTAATGTGCTTGCCAATGCAACTTTTATGCTGGGAGATGCATGGAGCATCCAGATAAGGAGGTAAAAGTCAATCTAGTTGTTTTCTTTTTTAGTAACTTCCTTAAACTTGGTGAAGTTAATATTAGGGTAGGATTTCCTTTGCAAACTACGTTAATTCTTTCAGCAAATATCTCTTAAGACCATACTATATGCCAGACACTATGGTGCATGCTGGAGGTTGTCTTAGGCTGGGCTCCCCCAGAAAAAGACCTGGAGGTGAGGATATATGTGCAAGTGATATCTACTAGGGAACTAATCCCAGGAAGCAGTATGAGAGGAATTGGAAAGTGAGACAAAGGGGCAAAATTAAATAAAATAAGCCAATATACGTATATCAACGAGCAGGTTACCACTGTGGACAACTGGGACTCACCCCCCTAGGGACCTTCTCAGAAGAAAGTGTGGAACAGCCTTAGCGTGGAGCACCCACGGGCAAGGAATGTGGAAGGTGCCTTGGTGGTGGGTTGGGAGGCAACTGTACTTGTAGCTTTTCTTTGCACCAGAGGAGAGAAAGCCCTGCAGAGATTCCAACTACGGCTACCCTGGTAACCTGAAGATACCCTGTCCCTTCTTCCTGTTACTTAAAGCTTAGTGGGAGGGTCAATGAGTTTGCGTTATCTGTTTCCTAAACATTACAACGTTAAGCCTCTACCCATAGAAGCCTGCAATCCACATTGCAAGCAGTGACAGATTTTTACCAGGGGCTCCTTCTGTTTGCATTTCTTGACAACTGTTTATTTACTGTCTAACGGATAGGTAACTGGTCAAAGCAACTTTGAGCCCAAATAGAAGGCCTCTATTGAAAATGAATGGATTAGACTTTCCCTAAGGAAGGGATGCTGTAGGAATCCTCCCAGTGGGACATTTGCTTTCACTTCTTTTTTCAGCAGGCAAGATTTTTTATTTTAGTCAAACCACAGGATACTCATGGCTCTCTGGAGACAATAGTGACAATTTACAGAATGGCTGGTCAGAGTTAGGGCTTTCAAGCCAGCCCCTAATATTGGTGGGCTTGGGGCAAGAGTATATAAATGGAGACGCATCATATGTCAATATCTCGAAGTTATTAATCAAGTTAGCATATTATTATACATGTGTTGTATTTTCCTACCCTGACAAATTTAACAAAAATATTGAAAGGTAAGAAAATCTATAGTTTTTATATGAGAAAAGCCAGCAAAATATCAGACATCTGAATATATCATTATGCATATTTAGATCTTCTGTTGATACTCTGACTATATGGAGAAGTAATCAAAACATAGATGATTCATACAATAATATTTATAAAATTGATTTTCCCCTTTATTTTAGTAAAATCACTAATATGTTGCTATAAACAAGATTGTCACATAATTTGTATTCTCATGTCAGCAGTGATCTGACTCTATGCCGTTCTGTGTATGAGAACCCAGTCACATAACAGTTTTGTTTCTCAGCGGCACAAACAAGTGCTCAGGAGCCACATATGGCTAGTGGTCACTGTATTCGACAGCACAGATATGGAACATTTTTATTATCACAGAAAATTCTATTGGACATCAATGCTAAAAGATTGCTGCATTCAAATTATATAACATTTGAATATATATTTTCATCAAAAATGTCAATTAAAATTTTTAAATCAGAAAAGTAAAATTACCATCCTATAATTGTTGAAAGTTATTTTCTTCCAAATGGTTCAAAGTTATCAGAATTAAAATGCAAACTACAGATTATGATTATGAATACCAACATTGAAATAAATAAAAATTATTCAGAAAAGGCTTAAAATTTTTACTTACCATTTGAAAATTCAATTATACCTTATTAATTTTTTACTAAAATGGAAACCTACCCCATTAGCAATTCTAGCACATCGACCTCTGTGTTAATGTAAAGAATCAGTATCATGTTTCACATGTTATATTTTAACAGTAATATTACTTAATTTGGGACATATTCCTCAATCACCATGCTCAACTATATGCAAATACTATACTAATGTGTGACTCTTTCCAGAACCATGAATTAGAACATGAAGAGAAGCAAGAAAATTAATGGTTGGCACTACTAGGAAATACTTCTCATTATTTAAAACGGTTCAATATTCTTGCTATCTGAAAGGAAGGACTTGATTTTTAATTAATTTGACTTTTCTTTTAACTAAATGTTTCTGATACTACATCATCTACACACTACACACATCTACATTACCTAGGAGTGTCCATCTGCCATGTTACGGCACAGGGAAAACCACAGTGCTGTTTCAAGTCCATGGGACAAAAGTTGTAAAGTTTCTCTGAGGCCTGAATGGAGCTGGTTTTGAGATCAGATGTTTAGGGTCCTGTTTTATGCTCTGTCATCACTGAACACCAGAACCCTAGTGACAAAGGTGACCATGTGTCCCTTAATAAATTCATTTGTATAGGTTGTGATACTCAGGGCAGGAGCCCATTTTGCCGGGTCTGCAGGCAGAACTGCCAACTATCCTTATGCAATGATGATATCTTTTTGCAGTAATTACTCTGTTCTTGAAACTTGTCCAAACCTCACTAAAGTCAAAATGTAAATTAAAAAAAAAAGAAAGGGCGCCTGGGTGGTTCAGATGGTTAAGCGTCTGCCTTCGGCTCAGGTCATGATCCCAGAGTCCTGGGATCGAGTCTTGCATCGGGCTCCCTGCTCCTTGGGAGCCTGCTTCTCCCTCTGCCTCTCTCTCTCTCTCTCTGTGTGTCTCTCATGAATAAATAAATAAAATCTTTAAATAAATAAATAAATAAATAAGAAAAAAAAGAAAACTGATCTGACCATAATACATCCCTACCTATCTGAAATGTTATGTTAAATTTCAAGGTTAACCATATGCAGAAAGTTCCTAACCATCCAAAGTACCAGGCCCACCAAAAAGCATAGACAGAATCATTTAAATATCTGCCAAGGTCACTTAATTGGAGCTATCATGACCCAGCAGAAAAGGAAAAGAAAAGATTGTGATTGTTTCTGCTACTCATATTCTCATTTCTAGGCCTTGCTGCAATGATTGATTACCATTTTTAGAAGTGTATTTAGATTCTAAAAGTGTATATTGAGATAAGAAATGTAAATAAGCATGCTTGTATAGGTTTCCACAATGATGTACTGTATTCTCTTTCCTTGATGAACGATAGGGTGTCCTCGAAAAAAAGGGAAGAATGAAAAGAAGGAAGGAGAGTGGGATGGATGGATGAAAGAAGGGAAAGAGAGGGAGTCAGAGACAGAGATAGCCAGCTCAGAATTTGGAGTCCAACTTGATTGAGTCCCAACAGTGTGATTTAAATTAGTTAATTTCTGTCCCCTGGCTTGTGGAAATGGTATCACATGTGAAACTGTGTGAATTGGGAGGCACTGAACAAACCTGATACGTTCATTGTGTTGATCTCTGGTTAAGCAAGGCTTTAAGTGAACATCGCATCCCAATCTCTGCCCTCCCCCACCCCCCGGCCATTTGTCTTTACCTCTGGGGCGCATGAGCCGGGGGCAGCGGTGGGGAAACTGGACACAGTGCTATGCAGAGCCCTGCACCGTACACACACTCACCGTTGGATTCTACTCTGCCTGGTCATAAGAGGAGCGGAGATAACTTTTCACCCAGCACTTCACAGGTTCACTCACTTCTGAATGTGTATCTCATCACGTAGGCATTTTCTCATCTCACAGCCATCACGATGAGGGTGAGTACAGTATAATAAGATATTTTGAGAGAGAGGGAGAGACCACATAACTTTTATTACAGTATATTGTTATAATTGTTCTATGCTATTATTGGTTGGTTAATCTCTTACTGGGCCTAATTTATAAATTACATTTTTAACATAGGTATCTATATATAGAAAAACACGTAGGATACATAGGACTCGGTACCATCTGTGGT